TACCGCGGGCGTTAATGGAAAAACCTGTCGTTGTCCTTTGTGTCATCTGTGACCAAATCTGGACACAAAGCATAACAGCTTTAATATTTGACCTTCTTTAATACTACAGTGTGTATATAATTATCCCGTTCATACTTACTGTTTATGCAGACGGTCGAGGTCCTGGGTAGACTTAACGGGTTTACCGCGGGCGTTAATGGAAAAACCTGCCATTGTCTTTTTGCGCCGTGTGTGACCCAATCTGGACGAATGTGCAAGTAATAGGCTTCTAGTATCTGTGGAGAAAATACACAAAGTTCAGTCTTAATATTATTGATGCAGTTGTTTGCGTGAAGGAAGTCATGATCGATTATAATGGGACTTACCGCATTCACCTCTGTGTTCAAGCAGAACGTGGCAACCTGTTGAGTGGCTGTTTTGTGCTCACGCACACCAATAGAAAAGTTGCCATTTATGCGTCTTCTCTCCAGCCACTCTCTGACCTGGAAATCAATGAAAAACCAATCTGTGAATTTTTTTTTTTCATTTTGTTTTTATTTTATTTAATCAAAGGCTTTTGGACGCTTGTGATGTTGAAGCCTATACAAAAGTAACATTTTATCAAAAAACCTATTCAACCAGTAACTAACTACATACTAAGAGCTGTAACCTCTGCAGTGAGACTACTTACTTGCATGTTGTTCACAACTCCCGGTCTCTGGTAGTGCTTCAATAAGATGATGCCCTCACAGTAAGACCGGTACAGTGTCTTCTCTTCACTCCTGAGTTGAGGGGGGGGGCTCTCCATCAGTTTGCCGAAAGTGCAAAGCATGTCTTTATGTGCCACCCGAATGACCTTCTGACACTCATGCAGGCTTCGCTGGCTCGTAACATAGATTTTGCTGTCTGTCTTCAAGATGCGCTCTCTCTCTCTCTCTCTGTTTCTGTGACCTTTGGCCACGTTTGAACTACCATCACTACCACTACCATCAAGTCATATACATGCTTGCAAAGCTGAAAGTCTAGGCTTTCCAATGATGCCAAAGATGTACGTGTCACAGCAACACAGAGTAAATTGCTCCTGTCTTTGTTCAACCCATTTTACATTGGAAATCAAATCTAGCGTCTATTTGAAAATTGGCCTTATAAAAAATAATTGTTACAATGCATTTTTTGACTTAAAATGGATGAGGTGCACACCAAATGACCAAGAGATTGTTTTCAATTGCAAACCAAACTTTTTTTTATTAAATGTGTGAACAATCAAACACTAAATAACACTTTCTATAATAAAACTAATTTTTAACATCTGTTATTCTGAAGAAAACACCCAAGAAATAAATAACAAACTACTACTCTATATAAAACTACTTTTTTTGCACACAATCAAACACTAAATAACACTTTGAACAATAAAACCAACTTTTCACATCTGTTATTCTGAACAAAAAATATATATATAAATAACAAACTCAGTCTTTATTTAAAACTTCTTTTTTGCAGTTCTTGGTGATTTAAGAGCTGCCCGTCTGGCAGCTCTTAACACCCTTCTGGAGGCCTTAAAAGAAGACTCTAGTGGGCTCAGGCGCACCATCAGGTTGTGGTACATCTCCCTCTGGGTCTTGACTGGTTGTTGTGGAGTAAAAAAATAGAGTGCTTAGTACTTTCATCTCTCTTTCTCTTTTCTCTATTTAATTAATTTTTAAAAACACATTTCTTACAGATGCTGGCCCCACAGTGACGTCCTCCTCTTCCCCCTTCTCCTTCTGTTCCTCTTCCTCCTCCTCCTGTCCCTCTTCCCCCTGCTCCTTCTGTTGCGCTTCCTCTTCCTCCATCTCCCACCTTTCCTCCTCCAAGCAGGAGCCTCCCAACTCCTGGTAGGGGACCGCCTCGTCACTCAGTGAGGTGCTGTAACTCTCCTCCTGAGCTGTAGGTTTTCTGGGGCAAACCTTCTTGGGCTTTGGCGGGGATGAGAGTGAGTCAAGGTGGGGCAGAGTGGAGGCCTCCTCAAAGTGGCGCCTCATTGCACGTGTCTGCTCT